TTTAATACCTGAAAATTGTAGAGTTCCATGTTTGAGATGCTCAAGTTAATATTGATGGAAATGAATTTAGGATTATACTAACTTTCTTATCTTTTCATAGTTAAGTGCAATTATTGTTTAGATTTGGAAACTCGATTACCAATTATTACAGCCATGTTTCATCCCAGAAGTTAGTCAGAATATACATTTAATTGATTTTTACATACTCAAGGCTGACTTACTATTAAGACTGGTTGTCATGGTTTGCTTATTAAAGCGTTCCTAATCATAGTAAAATTAGAAAAAAATACATTTCATTAAAAAGTCTTTATAAATCAGTTTTATTTTTTAAAGTTTATGCTTTCATACTGCTATATATTACTCATATCACACCATGCTTCTGGATTTCTAGAACTCCACAAACTCAGTTAACCTCAGGCACTACTTGTTTTTAGTATGTACTCCTCGGATCCCATGGAGTTCTTCATGCAAGATTGTGGGTCCAGGGTTATTTTATTCAAGAAAAATAAGAAATTGGATTCTTTTTTATGTGAAAACTCTTCTTTGTGTGGTCAGCCCATGATTTATGTTTAAAAATGTACAGACAAGTCATGCCATGCCTAGGTTTTTAATGGCTGCCTCCCCTTTTTTGGACCCAGGATCAGATCTTCTGTCTTTACAAGTGAGAACTAGGTTGGTGGTTAATTCATTTACAGTCAGCAGAGGTAATAGTGACACTGGTTACATATCACTGCAGTGGGGACATTGGCAGTTTATGGGACCCCATCCATCACAGTCACCCAGTGAGCAACTTAGGATGTGAAGAATAAGCAAGATTAAAAGTAGTAGAGAAAGGGCAAATTATGAACAAAAGGTGTTTTCACTTTATCTATATAAAAATATGTCAAATCCTGGTAATATTTCCATAATTTAAAAGCGAAAGGAGGGAAGTTATCATTTGATTTGATCTTTCATGACTGCTTTTTGTACACTTTTTATTCCATTATTTTTTGTTACAAAATAGAAAAACTTGCACTATTAAGTAATATTATTTATGGCCTTTTAAAAATTTTCCTTTTGGTTGGTCCTGGGGCTTGAACTCAGGGCCTGGGTACTCTCCCTGAACTTTTGTGTTCAAGCATAGTGCCTTACCACTTGTGCCACAGCTCCACTTCCAGATTTGTTGGTGGTTAATAGAAGATAAGCATCTCACAAACTTTACTGTCCAGGCTGGCTCTAAGCTGCAATCTTTAGATCTCAGCCTCATGAGCAACATTATGGTATGAGCCACTAGCAGCTGGCTTATTTATAGCATTTAAAAATTAAGTACGGCTTAGTGCTTGATTATCCTTTAAGACAGTGAAAAGTAGCCTGTCTAATATAATGCATCCAAAAATATTTATTAATTTTTATCTCATTAATATGCATCAAAATTTGAAACTCTGGGACTGGAGGTATAGGAAGGAAGGAAGGAAGGAAGGAAGGAAGTCTTCATTGGGATATATGGAGTACAATTAGAGTTCAATAAATGGTGGTACTTTGGAGAAATCAGTTCTTAGACTGTGGCTAAAGAAAGTTCTAATACAGAGATTATTTCTATGGTAATCTGGGACAATCCTGAACTATATAAATATACCCAATTCACAAAGAGAGGTTTTAAGATTTCACAATAAGTAGAAGACTGCCTAGACCCAGTGTAAAGGTATCCCACCCAGAATGGGAGATCAGGCGAAGATGTGTTGGAAACACCTCATTACTCCACCACAAAATGGTAGTATCTCAGTGTTATAGTCAGGGTAAATATTACCACATAAGTATCCTCAAATCAGCCTCCTGTGTAGTTAGGATTGCAGTTGTAATCATGAGACTTAAGACTTGCTGTGTTTGACTGTCAGCAAGTAAATGTAAACATCTTATGAAGATAGAAAATAAAATTCAAAAAAATATTGAGCATCATCTTTCCGTTCACTGGTAGCTCTCATGCTTGTAATCCTAGTTATTCAGGAGATTGAAATCAGAGGTTCAAGGCCATTCCAAGCAAAAATGTCCATGAGACTTCCTTTTCAAAATAACCATCAAAGAAATAGATCTGGAGGCACAGATTAAGTGATGTGAACAAGATGAACAAGTTAGTTAAGCTTTCTTGTGAAGCCCTGAGTTCAAACCCTGGTACCACTAGAGAAGGAGAGTGGAAGGGAAGAAAGGAAGGGTAGAGGGGAGGGAAGGGAAATTTTGTGGCATCTACTTTAGACCTCTTTCCTTGCCCCTCAACTTTTCTTATGGGGAACATGTTCTGCCTTATCATATACATCCAGGCTTCTTGTCCAACCTCTGGAGAAACTGAGCTTGATTAAATTATGAAAACCATATAATTACAAATTTAAATGCAAATTTGTGTATTTATTGGACAGCACACAATGTTTTCCTAAAGTAAGGCCTAATCTTTCATTTCTCATTCTTCACATGTTCTAGGAGCTAGGCAAGTGGCCAAAAAAATTAAGACAAAAAGAAGTTTAATAACTTTTATGATACAAATCTATCATAACTCTTTAACTTGTTATACTTACATCAAAGTAACGTATTCAACAACAGCCTAATGATTAAAATATAGATTTTAAACAGTAATGAAATTAATGTTAGCAATAGATTTTTTCATTTTGAATGATTTGATTAGATTCAGGAGTTTAACATTGCATTAAAATTTATTCATATGACTAATTATATAGATAGTTTGCTTTATATATTCTGTTTTGCTTCATAACCTTAAAATACAATTTATTTAAAAATAAGGTACTTCTCTGGCATCTCCAAGACATCAATATTGTTGGCAAACTTTACCACATATATAGGATTGCTTTTTTATGGTATATAATTAGTGTAAATTCTACCTCAGATTTTAGGTGGGAACTGGTAATTAACTCCACTCTTATTTTTGTTTTGGAATATTTCTTCTTAGGTAATGTCATATGACATACAGTTGTCATGTGCTAATGATTGTAATAACCAAAAAACACCTGAGGATAAAAATCTTTAACATTCACAGACTCTTTACCCCATCTGTTTTAGATTCTTCTTCATCTTTCTAATAAAGTTGGATGCACATTTTTCTTTGTGCAATTAAAGATGTGAAGTTATAGAACAAATACTTTCTGACTTTTAATCCATACTTTTGGTTGATATTCCTGTATCATTACATTTTGCATACTTTCATAGTTGCCTCATTGAGATAAATTCCTAGAAGTTTAAATTGATATGTTAAAAAGAATATAAAATGTAGGCAACATTACAGAAAGGAATTTCTTACTACACTGTTTATATAGAGATAACCACATTCCTAAACCCTTGATAATGTTCTATGTTTATTAATGTTAACAAATTATCCTATTCATTAAATTTGCAATTCTTTGGTGACCGCTGAATCTGAATATTTGTTTTATGCATTATTATATTTATACAGAGATGGGAAAACATTTTCTACGTGGTCTAAACTTTTTTCCTGCATGGAGGCCCTAAATAGCCTTTATGTGCCCAAGCCTCTCACTTTAGCTATAGTTAATGATATTAGAGTTGTTGAAATAAAACGTTTACTCAATTCAATGAAGAGGAGAGAACATTCAAAACTCTGATCAAATTTCCCTTTAAGGTAAAGAATATCAAGAAACAAGCTTGTGGCAAAACTTTGAAACTCATTGTCACAAGTAGATGCAACTGTATATTATAAAGATAATATTGTAGAACATAGAGATATATTTTAGACCATAAATCTTACTGAAACTGTTCCTTGATATAGGAAATTCTTAATATTTTTGATCTTTTCCATTTGTGTGTATTGACATTCTTTAAGAAAAGCAGTATAATCTAAAATGTGACAAATTTAAAATATTTTGTCCATAATTTTCAAGTACATATTAAATTACCATTTATAAGATTGCTACAGGACCTGTTTTGGTTTTGGTTTTTGTTTTTTTGCTACGTGGGGTTTGTTAAGGCAAAAAGTTTAAAATCTGATTGGGAGGAAATTGGCAAATTAAGATAATTATACATTGCTGAATCATACTGTATCTCCATTTCTAGCAGCTTACAATGAGCTCTGATCTCACACATTTGCTTTGTTGGGTGTTACAGTTCAAGCTCCATCATGAGTTTGCTCTCAGACTGTTGACGGGGCCTACATACACCCTGAAAATTTTACCGAAATTCCTGAGAACTTTACTGACTGCTGGCCTGACCTGGTTTCCTCATCTTGGGAATTTCTTCCACAGATCTACTCAGGACAGAATGAAATATCCAGGAGATGAACTTAAGTGAAACAGGAAGGAAGTTTTAGGGAAGAGATATTGAAGATAAGGGAGAGGAAGAGGAAAATCCCAAAGTGGATTGTAAAATCTGTTTAACATCCTTATCTCAAAAGAGAAATGCCATCACTTTCACACATTCCACTGACCTCACAGATCAATCCTACTTCAATATGGGAAATAAACACACTGGCTTAGAGCAGATAGTGTTTCTTCTAGTAAAAATTTATTATCAAGTGAATTAAAATAAACTATCTTTTTAAAACTATATCAATCCTGTCAAATTCTTTGAACTGTCAGTAATGCTCTGTTTTCTGCATAATTTAAATCAAACCCTTCTGTTAATTTTAAATAATGTAAACTTAAGAATGTTATTTCTTAAAAGTCTATTCTCATGTGTGAATACTTTTTCCAATAAAGTGATTATGTTTACTAGCAACAAAAATGTAGCAATCAATGACATGTCTTGGTAATAAACTTATTTGTCCCTCTATATGTATTGTTTCGGTTAAGTTTAGTAAGGGTTCTTTTCTTGCAGAGAATTCAAAAGAGAATTATCTGCAGAGATACTATCACTTGTAACCTAAGTAGGATTGATTTCATGTTGTGAGTGTAGAGAGTTCTATAATGATGTTAATATAATCTAATTTGTTATAATATTCCTTTTTTATTTTCTTAAAACAACAAGAACATATCTGATTTCATAACCTTTCCTTCTCATTCTAGGTCTCCTAAAAACCCAGAACAGAAAATCATTAAGAGAGTGATTGCTCTTGAAGGAGATATTATAAGGTAAGCATCTAAACTGTTCTTCTTTGCTTCATTTTAAATATCTATGTTTAAAATATCTATATAATGGGAAAAGAACAAACAAATGTAGCAGTGGTACTCACTGGGCACTCTGTTGAAAATGAACTATGCAAATTGTGGGTGGGAATAGGAGGAACAAACTGGAAGACAGCAAGGGAAAAGGTGACATTGTCCAAAAGGAAATGCACTCTTTGGCTGAGTTCTGTCACTGTAACCCCTTTATTTCTTTAGCATTTTTAAATAAAAATAATAAATAATAAAAATAGTAAAATAAAAATGAATAATAAAAATAATGAAAAATTAAAATTTATATTTTAAATGTTATTTTATTGTAAAGATGCTGTACAGAGGGTTTACAGTTACATGAGTAAGGTAATGAGTATATTACCCCCTCCTTTGTTGTTCTCCCACTATCCCTTCCCTCCCCTATTATCCAAAAATCTGTATTTTGAATTTAGTTTTAAATTGTGTTATTTGGACAGTACATCTCCAATGATGTTAAGGCTTCAGTCACATTCTTTATGAATAGGTGTATCTTTAGTGAATATCATTAGCCATTTAAGAGGTAAGGCAAGCATCAACTTACTGATAAATTGTAATAATTGTACAATTACTCATAAACATAAAGTATAAGAAAAAAGAGTACTAATTAAACTAACATTAACCTCATCATTTCTTCCAACATCTGGTTCAATCACTCTTTTTCAGATACTAACATTGGCAGGGCTAATTTAAGATTATGATATCAAAGTCCACTTTAGAAAAATTGGAGAGTTGGGTATTGGTAGCTCATGCCTGGCATCCTAGCTACTCAGAAGGCTGAGATCTAAGAATCATTGTTCAAAGACAACTCCAAGAGGAGAGTCCTTGAGACTGAGTGTTCAGCCTTAAAGAATAATGTTCAGGGACAGCACTAAGATCCTGAATTCAAGCACTAGGATTGGCATACACACACATGTAAGAAATTCTCAAACTGTCTATATATTCATATTCCATCATGTACAGTACAGTTTTTCACATCACTTACAATATTTATGTTAACTAATAATTAAAATATTGTGAATATTTTCATTATCACAATCATAGTACATGTGAAATAGGATCCTAGTGTGTTTTTATTTGCCTTTTTCTGAAACCTAATGGTATTGTGAATATTTTCATGTACTTTTCAAACATTCCTGTTTATCTTCTTTGGTAGTTTATTTTCAAATTATTTCCTGGTTGTCTATGGTTGTTTATATTTGAGATATAAGAGGGCATTTGCTCTGATTCTTTTAGTGAAGAAGCATATGTATAAAATTGTAACATTAGTCAGGAATAAATATATTTGTCTAAAGGAGTTATTTGCAATTTCCTATGGAATATGTATCTTAAACTGGAAGGACCCAATATCTTTTTTATTCTTTTTTTTTATTGTGAAAATACCATACAGAGGGGTTACAATTACATGGGCAAGGTAATGAGTACATTTCTTATCAAGCATTCTTGCCTCTTCCTTTGTTTCCCCTTCCCATCCCATCCCATTTTATCCCTCCCCCAAACCCTTCCCCCCCACACCCCCGGCAAAGTAGTAAAATTCGTTTTTCGATAAAATGATTTGTACATCTCATTGTTGCAATGGGTCTACTTGTATCCCGATTTAAATGTTTTGTTTTTTCCCTTCCCCTCCACAAATTATACCAACATCAAATACAGTGAAAGCAGGGGTTATACCGTGGGGGAGGGACATACAAAGCAACAAAGAAA